TTTTTTTTAGATAATTTGGATATAATTTTTTTAAAGGTGGCAACTTTTGTCAAAAACGTAAAACCAAGTGCAAGCCTTTTAATTTGACATCTTATTAAGGAAAATCGAATGAACGGTGCGATTATTATGGCGTAGCTTATTAAATAATTTGAATTTAATTGTTCTAGAGGTGGCAACTCTGTTCGAAAAAATAAAACCAGTCTACAGGCCAAGCGCTTTAATTTGACACCCCATTTTTGAAAATCGAGCGAAAGGTGCAGATCTTTTATGCTGCATTAAAAATGCCTTCGCGTATTATACTATATATAGACTATATATATACAGATGACGTCAAAGCTTTGGACTATGCGGATTGCTTAGTACACTTTACAAGCTAGCGAGATCGCTAGTAAAATTAAAAAGATCAAAAAAGTGTCACAAATACAAGAAAAATTCATATGCTAAGTCTTCTACAAAATCGGTCAATATTTATTTCAAATCATATCTTTTTCGTTATCCACTTGTAACTTGCAAGTATACTTTAGTCTTTAACCAATCGAGATTATAGTAAAATCTCTGCGTTCAAAACTAAAACCCTTCCTCTACAAAAATCGTCAATTTTTGGCACGTTTTCCAAATTTCTAAAAGCACTTCTATTCGTACTTCAAAATTCTTGAATATCAATTAATTTGCATAATTTTCGTACAGTTTTAATTAGAATAATTCTTCAATAATTTATACAATTATAATTAACTATATCCATACTTGCCGCTTAACTATTCCAACTAAAATTCGAGCAAATATATGCCTACGCATGCATAAATAGTTGTGTAGCTGGAAAATAATGTGCAAAGTATTTCTCAAATGCTAATCTTATATCTACCAAATGAGACTCTAAATTTCGGCAATTCATTGAAATTCTGTAGCGTTCTTGTTTAACAAGCAAACAAAAAACAAAAAAATGATTTAACTTGTAGGCCGACTAGTCTTTTACGTGGTTGATGCTATTAATCAAATTTAAATATTTAAATAATACTGTACGCCTAGGCATTTACTTGTACATATGCACTCTTATAAAAAATCGTAAGTCGATTATTTTAATTAAATTGACGAGGTTAAGCTGAAATACCATCACTTTTGCCAAGATTTCTAATCTATTTGTGACTTACAATGTCATCGCTTTAATCACACTATGCAACACCGGCTTTAAGGCATTACAAAAATGCATATACATACATACATATCGTTCTTTAAAGTACAAAACCGCGTAACTGACATTGGCTGCCAAAAAAGAAATTCGCTTACCGGAAGCTCCTGGCATTAAGCCCTTCCATCCGTTCATACAAAAATATCGATACTTAGACATAAGAAGAAAAGATAATTAGTGATAAAAAAAAGAGAACCGTTTTGAAATGAGACAAGTTTTCCTCTCCCCCTATACAATTTTGGCAACCTCATATACGAGGTTTTGCATTTTCCTGATACGCGGTTTTGTACTTTAAAAGACGTGTATGTTTTATAATTTATAAGAAGGTAATTTTTGGCCATAATTCTCGGCCTTGGTCTTAATACTCCTCCAAGTAAACAAGAACAACAGGTTGGTGGAAGCATCGATAATGTCAGATTTGCAATAAGGATCTTTGTTCGTCTTGTTTGGAGCTCTAACCGCCCGAGCGAGTCCAAGAAAGCACGCCAGTCGTTTCTCTTCTGTGTCAATTGAGGCAAATTGGAAATGTCAAGTAAAGCCAAATCCATCTCCACCTGGTCTTTCCATCGCATAGGGGATCTTCCTCTGTTGGCACCACCAGAATTCGCGCTGAATAGCTTCAAGCCTGGAGTGTTTGTCTTTCTTCGTAGGACATGGCCTAGGTGCTGTATTTTAATTCGCTGCACTATGCCAATTTATGTTGTTGTAAAGATCATAAAACTCATCCATAATTCCATCGTCTGCGGTATTCGCCGTCGCCAACATGTAAAGGCCCTTTCCCTCGGACACTACAAGGGCAGCCTCATCGGATATTTTTATCGTCCATGCCACCACGCCATTCACCAGAACAGGCATGATGAGTGACATATACAGAGATGGATGGATGAGAGAGGACCTTTACCTCTCAGTTGCCTGATCAGTCTATCAGTGGTCCTCATTCACCACCAGACCCACGCGCTTTGCATCTCTATCTAATTTCGAGAAGGTATAATAGATGTATTCACCTTAACCTCAAAAACAAAAAAATTCCCAGAAAACAGTTTTTTGTGAACACTGTAGCTTTCAATTTTACCCACAAATTTTTTTTTTTACATATTTTACACTGCATTCTAAAGTTTCTCAAAATTTCGGATTGTAACCGAGATAAATTTAACAATTTCAGCAACACACACAAATAGAGCTCATTGAACGAGCGTTTGTTTGGTTTTTCAACAGTGAAAATTTTACTTTACATTTGGCACAGCAAAATTACACCACAGTAATTTTCTCCACCCCGTCTCACCTCGGAGAAAAGAGTTACCGATTGGCACACAGCCTAATTATAACGTTATGTAGCACAGTGAATAGCACTGCCCCAATTTACAGTTAGAAGAATAATATGTACAGTACATTTTTACTTGACAACACTGAAATCCTAAAGTTTGCGATAAATCAAGATAAAGCGAATGAATTAAAGTCCAGAATTTTTGCAATTTATTTTTTATGGGCAAGCAACCCACCAAAGCAATTAATTTTGCTATAGCTGTTCTATAAATTTTTATATATGTATACGTTTGCTTCGTTATGAATATAAGTAAATACAGTTATGTGCATACATATGTATTTATACGTACACAAATATTATAGGCGCACTTGTCGTGCAGTGAGATGGTCCAGTTTCTTTCGTGATTAGCAAAATACTTAATTAAACATTTTTTTTTTTAAGGAATTGCGACGCCATACTAGATTTTTGGGTTAACTTTCGTTTTCAACACATGGAATTCCCGGCTAATGTGCATACATACACATGCATGCACGTGAACAAAAGTTTATGCTATGCCTGCAGTGAAAAGACAAACGAGGTAGAAAAAATACTAGTTCATTAACTAGTACTATGTGCC